GATGTTGGTGTTGATGTTGATGTTGATGTTGGTGTTGAAGGCGATGATGATGATGAAGAGGAGCTGGAGGAGGACGAAGGTGATGATGCCGTGCTACTGATGAGTGTCGGTGATGCTGATAATGAAGACGATGACGATGTTGATCAATATTTTAAAAAAGGGTATTAATATATTTGCTTTAATTGATTTCAAAGGAGTCTTCGCTCCAACAAGATTACGTTTCTGAATGAAAGAGTCTTCGAGAAAAACTCAAACCTTACAACACTGTAAGCAACAACTTATTGGTAAAGTGCCTTTGAAGATATTCATATGGAAAAGAGGGTTATATAAATAAATCATAATCATAATTATATTATTCATAGTTGACTTCGTGTACATACTCTGGAAAACGGACCTTTTAATTATCATTATCACTGTCACTGTCACTGTCACTGTCACTGTCACTGTCACTGTCACTGTCACTGTCACTGTCGCTGTCACTGTCATTGTTATTGTTATTATCACTATTATTGTCTGAGTCGGAACCATGAATTCTAAACGGGATCGCATAAGAAAAATTTAATTCTTAATTTAATTTAATTGTTGTTTTTTTTTTTACAGATACCTTAACTTCAATCAGATAGAGAAAATTCCGGAACTTTTGTTCAGTCATCTGCAACAGCTGAAAATTCTGTAATTTTAAAGATCATATGTGATTATATAATTATCATCATCTCAACATCGTCAGTCATCATCATTATCATTACTATTATGCATTAGTCATCATCATAATCTTCATTATCATTATTACCATCATCATTACTATCACTATCACCACCATGCATCATTGCCATCATGCATCATCATCAACAACATAATCATCATCATTATCACCATCATACATCAGTCACGACGACCATCACTATCAACACCATCACCATGAACTCGACCACCATCAACACCATCACCATGTACACCTTTCCCATCGCCATCGCCATCGCCACGACCATCCACACCATCACCATGAACACCATCACCATGAACACCATCACCAT